GGTATATCAAACCTACAAGTTAGGCTCTGAAAATTTTACATAAAATTCACCTCCCAGAATTTAGTAAAAACACCCAGTTTCAGCCTCAAACTCATTAAACCCTATATAAAATTCACACAAGTTTTTCAACAAAAACGAACTTAAATTAGAAACACATGATAATGAACGACTCAGGCCATGAAATTTTTATCTAAAATACTACAGCATATGATCAGCAACACATAAAAATACCAGCCTTTAATACTCAGCAAGTGAATTTATAAAATTAAAACAACATTCAGCCAATTATCGAATTTCTATCAGAACTGAACCTAACTGAACTCCAAAAATTTCAAAAAAATTTCATCATGCTAAACATCACATAATCAGCATCTCAACCGAAATTCAGAATTTTTCAGCTTCAGACAAATTTATTATATCTAAAACAAATTCTTGTTGAAACACAAAATAAGTTATTAACCCTATCAAACCTAGTCCAAAAATTCTAGAACTTTTATACAACATACAATCATACCTGAGACGTAACATACTCGAAAATTGGACAGAATGGAGCACTACACAATTAATTATGAATTTTACAAGAAACTAAACAGAAATCAAATTAATTTTTAAAAATAGCTAAAGACCTTTAAAAATCACGAAAATTTTATACCAGATACATATTCATCAAAAATAGCTGCTCCTAAAATTTAAAGGCAATCGGACTAGTATTCCGTTTATAATGAATTTTACATTCAGCACAGCCATTTAAATCTTCGAAAAATCGTAACTACACATATACAGGTCCGATCGACACAAGGTCAGCGCCATTGTGTTTGAAATAATCCCAAGTTCCTAAATCCACAGCAACTCATCACTTATATTCAGTTCTCGCTCGATTCGTACGAATCGACGAGTTTCACACAAAAATCACGACGATATAATATTATCACATAAAATCACATCGCTTCTCAATTTCATAAAGCACGTTAGCATCACCAAAACACATAAATCATGAACAACACGACATATAATCGCTAAATAAATAGATGAAGAGTCGAGACTCGATACCGTTCTCGGGAATCGGGCGAGAAGGGTTCGAACGGGCTCGACGGAAAAAACGCGACGGCAAGCGGCGGTGCTCGACAGCTGCTCGGGCTCGACGGTTGCGCTCGGCTCGCCGGTGAACTCCCAGAAAGCAGCAGCGGCTGTCGGCGGCAGAGACGGGGCCTGCGTGGAGGAGCAGCGGCTCGCCGGGGAAAGAGCTCGGCGTCGGGCTTCGCAGCGGAGCAGGTGCAGGCGGAGGTCGCTGCAGCGACTCGCGCGGAGGATGAACTCACGAGCAGGCGATGATGGTAGCCGCCGGAAGTTGCAGCGACGGCGAGTTGCAGCAGGGGCGATGGTCACCGGGTCTTTGCGTGGTGCAGCAGCGACGGCGGGTTGCTCACGGGTTCCTGCCCGTGGTGGCGCTTCGCGAAGGTGGAGCAGCAGGGTCGTCAGAGGCGCTGCGTGTGGGTCGCCGGAGAGGGAGGTCGCGACGGCTTGCGAGCGGAGGAATGGGCGTCGAGGGCCTGTTTGAAATTCGCGACGAGGGCTCGAGGAGGTGCAGCAGACGGTCTCTGGAAGTCGGGGTTGTGCTACTCGCGGAGGTGAGGAGTTCGCCGGGAAAAACTTCACGAGATGCTGGTTCGCGGCGGCGATGGAGGAGGAGGGTGGCGGCGATCTGTTCTGAACGGAAATTCGCAAAGAGGCATTGGGGATGGTTGGAGATGGTAGCTGGCGTCGATCGTAAGGGGGTGAGGGGTGATCGGATTTATCTGACGAAAAAGAGAAACGAGAATTTTCTCTTCTCTGCCGACGAGAGATCGAAGGACGATGATGAGGGATTTCAGATTTGCGAGAGAACAAGAAAAAGGCTACGGCTGAAGAGAGCTTGGACGAGAGAAATCGATATAAACAGTGTATATATATGTGTGTAATGATTAGGTCGTTAGTCTTGACTCCCAAGACAAATTCACAGGGGTCAGTCTGTTGGGCCGGTTCGACAATAAATCGGCTCATGGGCTCGGTTTTGGTTCACGCGGGTATTTACGGGCTCGATTAAATCGCACAATTAATTAAATAAAATAAAACCGGATATAACGTTTGTTTAATACACACATTATTTTAAAATAATAATATCAATTATCAAAATATACGATTAGAAATAAATTTCAATTAGACAATTAGTAATATCTGGACACTCAAGAATAATAATTATAATACTATTAATAATAATAATATCACAAATACACATTTAGGCAATTAATTACAATTAGACATATAATATTTAGACATTCAATTTGGCAAGCAATAATATTTATAATTACACAATAATAATAATAATAGACAATAATAATAAAAGTAAAAATTCCCAATTAATCCACAAATAAACGGGGCATTACAGTCGAGCTGGGAAGCGACGAGGTGTGCGTCGCGATGCCGAGCTGGGAAGCGACGGGGTGTGCTTCACGCCGGGCTGCCGATGACGAGCTGGAAAGCGACGAGGTGCGCGTCGTGATGCCGAGCTGGGAAGCGATGAGGTGCGCGTCACGCTGGGATGCCGATGAAGAGCTGGGAAGCGACGAGGTGCGCGTCGCGATGCCGAGCTGGGAAACGACAAGGTAAGCATCACGCTGGGCTACTGATGACGAGCTGGGAAGCAACGAGGTGCGCGTCACGGCGGGCTGCCGATGACGAGCTGGGAAGCGACGAGGTGCGCGTCGCGATGCCGAGCTGTCTCTGTTGACCTGCCGAGCTGCGGATCCCTGTGGTGAGCTGTCGGACATGCCGAACACCTCGTGATGCCGAGCTGCTGACCACGCTAACTGTCCTGTGACGCCGATGCCGAGCTGGCCATGATACCGACCACCTCGTGAAGTCGACGTCGAGTTACGGATGCCGAGCTGTGGACGCGGAGCTGCCGACGCTGATTCGCCGAGGTGACGACCTGACACCAAATGCCGAGCTGATCGTGTGGAGACACCGAGGGTGCCGAGCTGAAGTGAGGGTGCCAACCACCCACAACGTCGATGCCGAGTAGCCGAGGGTGCCTACCTATTGAGTTGTCGAGCACAGAGCCGCCCCCGCGCCGTCCTGTCGAGCGTCGAGCTGCCGTTGTGCGACCCATGCCCCGAGCTCATGTGGTCTTCAACCAATTTTTGCACCTTTCTCTTGCCTTTTGCCTACTCCTCACCATCTCTTTATTCTTGAATTTTTAATGAATGCACCTAGGCTTATGTGCTTAGCTACCCATCACCTCCTCATATGCTTTCACCTACCCACCATCTTGAATGTGACATAAAGCAACTTGGTCCCCAAGCTTCATCCTCCGTAGATGTGTTGAACAACTTTTGTGACTTTTGACATGTAACCGTAAAATCTTGCTTTGTCGTATGCCTTTGTAAGTTCGACGCATCGTGTTTTTCTTTTCTCTTTTGTGAACCGACTTCACTTATTTATATTTAACATCATGTTTTTAATGCAATGTCCACATATCGCCGTTACTTGTTTCAAGCGCCGCATACTTACACAATTCATTATTGCATAAGTAATCATATTTTCTCTTTCGTGACGAGATTCATTCACCAAACCTTGCAAATATTTAGCATCGTGACAATGGGCTTTTGCACCAACACAATTATTTCTAAGTGCTTCAAGACCCATATACCTAACTTCTCATGGCGCCCTGCCAAGTCCTTGCTGGAACTTAACCGACTTAGATCCTACACTGGTCGTCGTCGAGCCCCGCGAGCTACAATTAAGACTTACAAGCAAGATTGACATGCTTGCGCCTTACAAAGGTCGTCGCCTAGCTCCGCGAGCTTAAGTGAGACTGACAGGTTTGTGCCTTACAGAGGTCATCGCCTAGCTCTGCGAGCTTAGGTTAGACTAACAGGCAAGGTCACCCTACAGAGGTCGTCGCCTAGCTCCGCGAGCTTAGGTGAGACTGAAAGGCAAGGTCGTCCTACAGAGTTCGTCGCCTAGCTCCGCGAGCTTTGGTGAGACTGTCAGGCTTGCGCCCTACAGAGGTCGTCGCCTAGCTCTGCGAGCTTGAGCAAGACTAACAAGCTTGCGCCCTACAGAGGTCGTCGTCTAAATCCGCGAGCTTGAGCGAGACTGACAGGATTGTGCCCTACGAAGGTCGTCGCCTAGCTCCACGAGCTTAGGTGAAATTAACAGGCAAAGTCGCCTTACAGAGGTAGTCGCCTAGCTCCGCGAGCTTAGGTGAGACTGACAGGCTTGCGCCCTACAGAGGTCGTCGCCTAGCTTCGCGAGCTTAAGTGTGACTAACAGGCTTGCGCCCTACAGAGGTCGTCGCGTAGCTCCGCAAGACTAAGAAAGACTGACAAGCGTGTGCCTCACGAAGGTCGTCGCCTAGCTCCACGAGCTTAGGTGAGACTAACACAGAAGGTCGCCCTACAGAGGTCGTCGCCTAGCTCCGCGAGCTTAGGTGAGACTGATAGGCTTGCGCCCTATAGAGGTCGTCGCCTAGCTCCGCTAGCTTAAGCGAGACTAACAGGCTTGCGCCCTACAGAGGTCGTCGCCTAGCTCTGCAACCTTAATCTAGACTAACAGGCTTACGCCCTACAGAGGTTGTCGCCTAGCTCTGCGAGCTTAGGCGAGACTAACAGGCTTGCGCCCTACAGAGATCGTTGTCTAGCTCCGCGAGCTTAAGCGAGACTAACAGACTTTCGCCCTACAGAGGTCATCGCGTAGCTCCGCGAGCTTAGATGAGACTAACAGGCTTTCGCCCTCATACATTCCACACAAGAAAAGAATCAAGCTGATAGAACTTCAAATGCAATCTTATTACTCATCTTGCCGAAACATCATAAAAACAAAAGAAAGCAATTAAAATGACATATCTCCAGCTATGCATAATATTTCTTCAAATGTAGTATGTTCCACAGTCGTGGCAACAGCCGTCCCTCTATCAATTCAACTTCCATCAGCTCGTCCTGGGAGCTCATCCCCAACTCTTATTTCTTTTCTCGGTGGGAACACTCAGGTAGGTTATCCTTCTTTCTTTTATTCTGCGCCTCGGCTGTCTTCAATGTGACCTCATAACGCCGTCGAGATTGTAGTTGGTCTTCTGTCACCTCTCGAACCTCATTCCCTACGGGGAACTTGACCTTCATGCAATAAGTTGACACAACAGCCTGGAATGAGTTCAAGCTAGGCCGCCCCAGTATAATGATATATGCCGAGCTAGCATCAACGACCAAGAAACAAACCATCTTTACATTCCTCAGAGATAACCTTCCCAACACCACAGTCAAACTGACTTTGCCAATGGGGTGAACTTGGCTGCCACTAAATCCATAAAGAGCAGTGTGGACTGGCTCGATCTTCACGTCTAACTTCATCTGTTGTAAACACTTCAAGAAAATGATATCCGCCGAGCTCCCTGTATCTATAAGTACCCTTTGCACGTCATAGCTAGCCACTTCTGCGGTGATGACTAAGGCATTACGTGGGACAACAAGACCCTGCACATCTTCAGCTCCAAACCTCAAAGTGGCCGAGCTTGCTTGTAGCTGCACCTCAGCCACCTCGTCAACCACTTTTTCCCCTCGGTAAGTCCTCTTCCTTTCCCTATGTGAATCTCCATCCGTAGGACCTCCCGCAATCATGTGTATTATGCCTTTCTTGACTGCCCTGTCAGGTTGCTCATCAGTCCTCCTTCGCCTGTCACCTGATTTGCGCACTTCGCGGCGATCTTCCTGGCGCTCTTTATCCTTCATCACGAATTCTTTTAAGGGGTCGTTTACTTCAGGTGACGGGATTGGATAACTTAGATAGTCCCACCATATCCGTCGTTTACATCCAGTGATTGGGACACGACTAATTGATGTGGACGCACATGTGGCGATGGGGCCCACAATTATATCATTAGTTTCTTGATAATTTTGCCCCGCCCAGAGCCAGGGATTTTTTTATCCCTCACTGTTCAACCCCATTTTTTCCTCATAAAATACATTTAAAAAGACCTAAACACCCCTGCACATCCACTTAATTACATAAACCCATCATTTAATTAAATTCCTCACCAAACTTTGCCCTAACCTAACAAAATTGAATTTGGAGAGGGAGAGGTGGAGTTCTTCGTCATTCCGTCGCCAGGTAAGGTCTAATCTCTCTTTTTTTGTTTGTTTTCGCTAATTCAGGCTCCAATTCAAAGATTTGTTGGTCCCTCAACCCGCAACCCTCTTCAAGTGATAGCCCGTTCGTCGTCGTGCTAGGAATGACGTCGTTGATGGCCGAAAGACGGTCGTCCGCAGAATGTTCAATTGTCAGTGTCATATTCGTCTTTGTGTGCTTCTCCTCGCTGATTTTGGGTTGGGATTGTTAGGGTTAGCGTTCGAACGATTTTTGAAATGGCTGGACAAACCTTTTTTTTTTTGCGGGGTTTTGAATTTGAAGAATTAAATTGTGAAGAAACCAAAATGTTCTTATCCTGTTTCATTTCAAAACCCCATTTTGTTTGCCAGGGCAAATGAGATTTTGAAAAATTTGAATTACGAAGGATTTTTGAAATGGCAGGGCAAATGAGATTTCAGAGAGTTCGAAGGATTTTTCAAATTAGATTCATCGTTTATGCAATGGGGGTAACTTAAGCATTTTATATCTTATCCTATAATTTTGTTAAATGCTTGACAAATTTCAGAGATTTTAATCACGTAATGTAATCATGGGACTGAATATGACGTGTAAAGTAAGATGGATTATTTTGGCTTATCCAGTCCTTCAACGTAAACGAGACCTAAGTGACCAGCCCTAATGAGCCGCTCAATTTCATCTTTCAACTCTCGGCAGAAATTTGTAGAGTGACCATAATTGTGGTAGTTCCGACAGTATCTATCATTTCCTGCTGAAAATTTACGCTGTGGGGACAGAGGCTTGGGTTGTGCAAGCAATTTGTCTTCCCCCCGCTTTTCCATCATCTCCAGGATCTCCTACTGTGGCGCATTAAGCAATTTGTAATCCTCATACCTCAGACCCCTAAAGCGATCCTCACCCATAGACTCCTTAGGAGCAGCTCATCGATCACTGTGTCGAGGCTTCTTATCCACCGGCTTAGCCTTTGTTCTGTCATTCTGAATGAAATCCGCTTCAGCATCCTCTATATTTACATACTTGCTACACCACTCTAGGAGCTCGTCAAAGGACCTCGCAGGCCTCTTTGCCAGTGAATCCCTGCATTTGCTGGGCCTCAACCCCCGCGTGAGACCCCCAGCTTTAATCTCCTCCGAAGCAGAAGGTACCTCCACACACTCCTTAGTGTACCTTGAAACATAGTGTCGCAGAGTCTCCCCCTCCTTCTGCTGCATGTTGATTATTAAGAGATACGTCTTCTCATGCTTCCTATCACTCGCGAACTAGTTTAAGACCAGAGAACTGAACCTCTCAAAACTGTCAATAGAACTGGGTGGCAACTGGTGGAACCAATCTTGTGCCGAGCCCTTCAAAGTAGTTAAGAAAGTCCGACAACTAACCGCATCGCTATATCGATGCAAAACTGCTATGTTATCAAATGACCTCAGGTGTCTAGTAGGATCTGGCAACCCATCATATGATTGGCTCAGCTCTCTAAAGTTATTCGGCAAGTCTCCATCTCGCACCTCTTCCGAAAAAGGATGACCATGCGACCTGGCAACCCTTTTCCCTTAGAGTCGGGCTTGCATCTCGCGTATTTGTTCCGCTAGTCTCTCCAGAGTCAACCCCTCCTGCTGTGCTACCAAGGGTCGAGATATCGTCGACCTATCACCATCCTCATCTCCCCTTTCGCGTTGGTGCGTCGGATGAGGGTGGAAGGACAACTGCTGATGCACGGGCTGCCGTAGCGATTCATTAACTTGCCGATCAACCTCTTGAGCCCGCCCTATCGCTTCCGCTATGATCCTGTCCAATTCCGTCCTCGTCATATGTATCGTTTGATCTCCTCTTGCCGTCAAGGGGTTGCTTTGGGGGTTGGTCCCTCCGGCTAAGACCATCTGTTGATTATTCAGCGGGGCCACATGGCCCGTGCTCCCATCAGGGGCCTGGCCAACCTGACCAGTTCCTCCACCCGTTTCACCGCCGAGCTCCTTCTCTTTGTTTATCGGGCCACCCAATTCTCTTGGGTTCGCCAAGTGCCCTTGAGCTCCTGGTAGCGGTGTCAGGATCACACCTTGGGCCAGCAACGTCTCCTTAGGGGTGGTAGGCAACGGCGACCACCCGGGCTGCGGCCCTGTTCCAAAAGCCCTCTGAGTCCACGCCTCATCCATATCCTTCGTCAAATTCTTCTTCGAGTTATCTCCTGCCATGATCCCCGTCGCTCTTCTTCTTCTTTGGTGAGAAAAAACAGCCCCTGACACTCTAGTAGAAGACTGAGTTTTCTCCACAGACGGCGCCAATTTGTTGTACCACAAATCCCCAAATCGCTCGACCGCTCCTCTCGAACCGGGTTGAGCTTCCTTGATCGTCGGTACCTGCAAAACACGTCGGGAGTGGTCCCAGCGCGGACACTCCGACGCTCAAGTCAGTGATGTATCCGGGAGAGAAAATGGCAGTAACGATGTAACGAGTGTATGTGTGTTTTTTTGTAAAATGAATGAACATGTGCCCTTTTATAGATGAGGTCATGTATAGGCCGAAGAGTTATTGTCAGACCATAAGTCTTCCTCTAAATCAGGTCAGATATTTCAGATCTTCAGAGCCCTCATTGCTACAAACTTCCTTGTGACTTGGTCAAAAAGCCATCAGGCTCTAGTCCCCTCGGCAAGACCCTCTAGTCGAGCTGCCTAGGTGCCGAGGTGCCTATTCACCGAGCTACCTAGGTGCCTAAGCGCCGAGCCGCTTAGATTATCACATCCACCGAGCTTACCTACCTTTAGTACTCCGCCTAGCTAGTCACCGCCTAGCTAGTCCTCGCCTAGCTCCCATCCTTCTATCTTACCAACCTTTGGTATGCCACCGAAATGCTCATGCCAAGCTAGCCCCTTACCTAGCTCCTATTCAGTATAAATGTGACCAAACTCGGATCACAACCGGTCCTCAATGCACCTGTACTTATGACCATATCACTGCCCAACTCCTACAAACATGAACATGAGCCTTATCTTTAGGCAAGGTGAGCATCGAAGCAAGTTTTGCGAGTGCATCGGCTTGCTTATTATCCTTTCTCGGCACATGATTAATTGTCACATCACGAAGCCATCCCATAAGTCTTTCAGCATAGTTTACATATAGAAGCAACTCAGGTTTCTTCACCTCATACTCTCCAAGTAATTGATTAACAACGAGCTTAGAGTCTCCATACACATTCAAACATAGTTGCTTTATGTCAACTGCCATCTCTAACCCAAGTATAAGAGCTTGATACTCAGCAACGTTACTTGAGAAATTTTCGGTCAGAGTAAATGAGTAAGGCAAAACTTCTCCGTTAGTTGTGACAAAGACGATCCCAGCACCAGCCGCTTCTCGATGGACCTCCCCATCGAAATACATCTTCCATGGCGATGTTATCTCAATGACCATCACATCTTCGTCGGGTAACTCATCAGACAACTCCCACTTAGCATGGATTGGATGATTAGCCAAGAAGTCCGCCATGACTTGACCTTTTACAGCCTTTTGAGGAACATAGATGATCTCAAATTGCTGCAATTGAAGATACCACCTTGCGAGTCTATCTGAGAGCACCGGCCTCATCATAACATACTTAAGTGGATTGACTTTTGAGACAATACGAACTGTATGAGCTTGATTAACGCCAGACATATCTTCTCGATGGGCGAGTAGTTTAATTCATTTGGCGTCATCATCCTACTAAGGTAGTATAAAGCACTTTCTTTTCCATTATCATTCTCTAGAGACAATAAAGTCCCAACGGAATGCTCCTGAGCAGTTATATAAAGAATCAATGAACGACCGAGCACATGAGCAAACAGCATGGGAGGCTTCATCAAGTACGCCTTTATACTTTCGAAAGCATTCTTGCAAGACTTATCCCATTCAAATAGAACACTTTTTTTCATGAGACGGCTGAAAGGTTGACATCGACCGACTAAATTCAATATGAACCTTCGAAGATACGCCAGTTTTCCTTGTAAGCTTTTGAGTTCATGAATATCACGAGGTTCGGACATTCTCAATATAGCATCAATCTTCGCTTGCTTGATCTCTATCCGTTGATGACGAACAATGAACCCAAGAAATTTCCCAGACTTGACGCCAAACGCACACTTGAGTGGATTCATCTTGAGTTGATATCTCCTTAGCCGTTCAAAAATGCTTCTCAAATCTCCAAGGTTATCTTCTCGCTTTCTTGACTTTACGACCACATCATCAACATAAAATTCAATGCTTTTGTGAAGCATATCATAAAAAATCCTTGGCATAGCCCGTTGATATGTAGCTCCAGCGTTTTTCAAACCAAATTGCATCACCTTGTAACAGTATATCCCTTTTGGCGTGCGGAATGCGGTTAATTCTTCATCTCTGCGACATGCGTATCTGATTGTACCCAGATGACCCGTCCATGAAAGACAATGCTTCGTGTCCCGTAGTGGCATCAATCATGAGTTCAGTAACAGACAACGGAAAGTCGTCTTTAGGGCAAGCTTCATTTAAATCTCTAAAGTCAACACAGACTCTAACTTGGCCATTCTTCTTTCTCACAGGAACGATGCTTGAGATACATGTGGGATACTTGACTTCTCGAATGAACCTGACCTCTATGAACTTGTTTACTTCAACTTCG